ATTTAAAAATATATAAACTCATCTCATCATCGGCGTTCCTCCCATCCTTTTAATCTCATTCGGAATGTCTTGACAACAACACTCCTATCAGCACAACATGCTTACCTCGTCGTCGATGTCCTGATCGTTCTGGAACTGCAGCGCTGCTTCCATTTCATTTTTTACGATTCTCTTGTCCTTCAGCGTGAACATATTTAGAATTTTGCGCTCCGGAAGAAACGAGCTGTCAAAGAATAATTCACTTCGTGACGACAAGTTGGCGTTGCCAGCCGGAGCACCGGCGCGAGCAGCTTCACCAGCCGCTGGTTTCTGTCCGGTCGTGCGAATTCGATGCAGCACTTCATTCATAGATAACCGCGCACCGTTGGTTGCTGCACTGACGGCAGCAGTAGCGGAAGGCCAAACCTGGCCATTTCTGTCGATCAAGCCAGCGCTCACCGGCCGCTGAGCATGATCCAGCGGAGCACCGATCTGACTGCGCATTGCCTGTAAGTTTGGCGAAACACGAGAAACACTAATTGGCGGATTTCGACGCACAACTTGACTCTGAGCTAGCCGCGGCTGTGCTTGAAAAACTGCTGGTCGGTTGCAGTACTGCAGTGATGGCGATGGCAAATACTGCTGGCCCACGTGATGGTACGTATTCACTGGTCTTCCTTCAGTTATGCCAAAGGACTGCGCTGGCCTGCAATACTTCTGTTAGGATAACAGTAAGAGTACATACATACATACATAAACAAACACACATTTCATAAAAATCATAGAGGCTTGGTATGAACATATTTTTCAATGAAAAATTGATAATTCTAGGACCGAAAGATTGCCGACTTAAAGAAAATGCAATTAATAAGAAAATGATTAATTTATGAAACAATGTTTCCCTGCCCATAAGGTATTTCATAAAAGCACGGTTAAGAAAGTAAAGTTTTTTCAGCAGAAATCGAGAACAGACTGGGAAAAAACACAATAAAAACTCTAGCTCATTTATAATCCAAAGAGTTCATCCCTTCCGACATACACCCTCCTCCCCTTCGTTTTCTCTGTCTTCCTCTTGTCCCTTCTCCCATCCGGAACAAGGTAAGGCCCTAAGTCTCCATTCATAAATCTTAAAAAAAATGAAGCAGTAACAAAGTTTTAGAAAATTTAACATCGCTTACCTCTGCATCACAACGGGAGATACTGGACGATAGAGCGGACGAACGAACTGAGCACGGCGCAAAGCGGCAGCTCGTGGCAAAGTGGCAGGGCCATAGGTGTGGCCATGTCTCTGAAGCACTGCGCGATCCTGTGGGCACACATAGACCACGCCTGTGCAGCAAACTCATTGGAGGCAAATTCGAGAAGTGAAAATCAGACCGTCCAAGAACACTTTACAGACCTACCATTTCGCGGTATACGCTGCTGCTGCTGTAGTGCAAGAGCGGGCTGACGGACTGGAAACCGCTGTGGTGCGGCATTCACGTACGACGGGCCCTCAAGCACTTGGACGTCGTCGTCATCATCGTCATCCTCATTATCTGGCACGGATCGCGCCACCGCTACATTTGTGGGCGACTAAAATTACATTCCACTAACGTGCTGGATAATTATTTTTGTCAGAAAGAAGAGAAAACAGGAGCGGTACATTTCACTTTCCAAATTTTTATGCGTTTTGTGCTGTGTAACAGCAGTAAAAGACGCAAATTTTCACGGAGTTCTCTGTGTGCCCAAGATTTTGTCCTGCACTTTCAACTTGGGAACGATAAAAGCTAGACGGCTGAAATCTTAGTAGAGTGTTTTCCGTCAACGTGCGACCCCCGCAAACTTAAACTCAACCTTCCCATGCCTGCGGGTAACACGTATGACCCTGTAGAAGTTCTAGCAAGGGAATTATTATCTCGAGAACTGCAAAAGCTAGAAAGCTGAAATTTTAGCGTGGTATCCCTTGTCCACATAAGACTCCGCAAATTTTCAATGTCCCCGTGGGAATTTTGACAGGAATAATCATTATCTCTGGAGCCAGAAGAGGCAAGAGACTGAAAATTTCAGGGGGTGTTTCCTGCTTATGCAGGAGATTCGAATCCAGTTCTTACGAACACATAAAAGTTTTGCCACAAAAATCACTCGGAAGCCAGAAAATTAGGAGACTGAAATTACGAAAGGATATTCACCCTTTCAGGTTTCAAATTCAGCTTTCACGTGCCGGCGCATGAAATCTTTAGTGGGAAATTCCACAACTTAAGAAACAGACAACATATCAACCGTTTTTGCACAGACTAAAGTGCAAAGCAGTGAAAATCATTAGCAGGCAATCGTTCAGTGGACGGAACTGCACAAAACGCTTGATCGCATCGGCTGCTTTGGTGCGCGCTGCTATTTATTTTTTGCGAAGGATGTATGTGGGATCTAATGTAGCGGGTTTTTATGCGTTTTTGTCGTGCAGCGCTAGAGCGCTGCGACAAACAGCAAAAACGCGTATTGCAACGACCCTGTCAGTGTGTGTGTGTTTTCGTCTGTCCGGGTATTTCAACTCACCAACCAAGCAATCTTTGAAGCTCATT